GAGAGAGAGAGAGAGAGAGAGAGAGAGAGAGAGAGAGAGAGCGCGAGAGAGAGAGAGCGTGTGGCTGAGCGAATGAGAGCGAGAGAAGGAGAGAGACGCAGAAATGTGAAACAGAGGACACAAACCCCGGTGGGATTATAACTAGTATAGAAACATAACTATAGTAGCCGCCACGTTAACCATTAACATCAAAGTAGACGGACCTCTTGCGGCATGAATGGCTTAAAGAAACAGTCCATGAGCTTCATCAGGCTGAAAGTCAGGTTGCTATTCACAGTGCCGACTATCTCCCTCACACTTTTTCTCACGAACTCCAGTGACGGCTGAAATATTGTCGAGAGATAAAAGCAACAGTTCAATGAAATATATAAAAAGATTTAAAAAAAATTCAGCACAAGTTGTGGCAAAAATACGCTTTGATTGCGACAGATATACTGGTAGAATACCAACCTGGCTTATTCCATCGCAGCGGATACATTACGTGTTATTTCGCCACCAATGCAAGTTTCACGAAATAATGCATTCTTCATTAAGAATTTCTTATTAAGCATGCATTCTTATTATCTCTTCTTCTTCTTCTTCTTCTTCTTCTTCTTCTTCTTCTTCTTTTTCATTCTTCTTATTTCTTAAGAATTTCTTATTACGCATTTCTTCATTAAGAACATATATTATATGACTGTTTGTTGCTTGCTAATACAATGCGCCCTATAGCACATCATGCACATATCCAGGATCTACAGAAAAATTGAGAAGTGGGAGTTTGGACGGCTCTACGGGGCACAGATTCACTTAGATTGCATTGGAACTATACAGTTAGCGATGAACCTAACATACACTTGGCCGATACCTATACCCAAGAGTTCTATCATCGTTAAACGTACAATTATCTCATAAATAACCGAAAAATGCCAAGCTATACCATACTATCATTCACATTGATCTACCTATAAATAGGTAAAATTAGCTCTTGAAACTATATACATGTATTGCTAATAACGTATACATGATAATATACAAGACGATTTGAGCTATTTGAATGAGCTATATGAGAAAATTGTTACCAGCGAAATAGGGTCAACTGACCACGAAGCGTATAACAAAATTCATTCGAGGATTGCGATAAGAGTTTTGACCATGAAGCCACGTATCCATGGATCGACTTGTTTAATGTTCGCTATAATCGATCCACCGACAGACGCATTACGACTACATCCGTTATTATTTTCTTAGCATGATTTGTTCACCTGCTACAGCTAGAAGGGATAGACGTCTAGACATTTGAGCAACATGTATTTAAACTATATAAGCTCTCGCGTACAGTATGGTTAGACGCACGCATGCACGCAGACAAACTCAGCGCACATTATGCACACAAACTACATATTTGCACAGACAAACGCACCACACATGCCCGCGCCCACTCACACGCACGTACGCATGGTCACAGGCACGCACGCACGCACGCACGCACGCACGCCCACCTCACTCACGCACGCACGCCCATCTCACGCGCCTATACCCACAAGCACGCACGCGCACACCCACATGCACGCACGCTCGCCCTCGAGCATGTAAACGTGCCCACAGCCACCCACGCGCGCCCACAAGCACGTACCTCCAGCAGCCTGTCAAAGAGCAGCAGGAGCGCGTCTGCGTGCGGCTGCATGGCTTCGGGGATCGTCTGCAGCCAGCAGGAGACGAACGGCTTCAGACCGAGGATGCTCGGCTCCAGGTAGACCATGCCGCATCGCGACACGGTCGCCGGCGAGGCGACGGCCAGGTCCGCCACCTCAAACATCATCGTCTGACTCTGCGGTGGCATGCAATCGCGTGTCTCAGTGAACTACGGCCGCTGCGACAATCCGCGTTAATTCATGACTCAATTACGTATCCCTCGCGCCGTCGCCTCTCGTCGAAATCTCGTGCTCTTCTCAACATATTAGCACTTCGCTGGTTTAATTATTGTCGCACTGAATTTAATTATTAAACTGGAAACATATCTGTGGAATTTTTTTTTTAGGAATTTTAATAAAATGTTAGCCCGTTTTTAAGAATTTCATACATTTTTTACGTTTTTTTAGGAATTTTAGGACGAGCTCAAAATTTTAGGAATTTGTAGGAATTTTAGGGGTAAGGCCGAGTCGTTATGAAATGAACGATCGCCGTCATAAACGACCCTTAATAATGGCCCGCAACCGATCAGTAAGCTGTCATTAAGCGCTCGGTGGTAATTAATGCAAGCATTGACGGCAAAATTTCGAAAACGACACGACAGCACTTCGTTTTCACTCCCCGGTCGTGGCGTCTCTTTGTTTTACGCACAGCGCAGCGCGCCTTCATGATTGTCTTCGCCTCTTTGTTCGGACCTCCTCAGGAGAAGTTTGCAGATCGCGAGTGTTTAATCAAAGGCTGCTCAGCCAGGACGTAGCAGTAACAGAGCGGGGGGGGGGGACAGAATCGATCAATGACAGGCGACCGTAGATAGCACAGCTTTTGACAACTGGCAAACATCGCTGTTGTTGTCGTTGTCGTTGCTGCTACACAGTCGTCGATAGCCCAGCCTTCAAACTTTGATAGATTGCCGTCGTCGTTACTGTCGCTGACATATACCCTCGTTGATAGCACAGCCGTCACACATTGATAAATCATCGTCGTTGTCATAATTGTCATCGTTGTTGTCGTCATTGCCGTCACTGTCATTGTTTTCGTCATTGCCGTCGTCGTCGTCGTTACTGTCATTTGTTGTTGCCGTTGTTCTCGTCGTCGTTGTCGTCATTGCCTTCACTGTCATTGTTTTCGTCATTGCCGCCGCCGCCGCCGCCGTCGTCGTCGTCGTCATCGTCGCCGCCGCTGTCGTCGTCACTGTCATTTGTTGTTGCCGTTGTGGTCGTCGATGCCTTACCTCTGACAGCTTGATGATTTCGCCGCTGCTCAGACACAGTTTCTTGTTGTCGTCCAGTACAGTGTTCATGTTCTCGATCCAGACAGCGTCGACGGGGCCGTCGAACACGTACCACTTCTTGTCGTCGTCGGTCGCCGCCGACCCGACGCGTATCAGTGACGACAGGATGCCGTCCGTCCTGCACGCGACGTGACGCGAGCGTTGTTAACGTTAAAGTCATTATTACGGAGAAATGTGTGTGTGTGTGTGTGTGTGTGTGTGTGTGTGTGTGTGTGTGTGTGTGTGTGTGTGT